GATGTTCTAGGCAGTGGTTTGGGTGTTGCTATGGTGTTGCTGAGGTGTTCTGGTTTGTTAGGTGTTTTGGGTCATTGCTAAGCTGTTACTAAGGTGTTCCAAGTAGTTCCTAAGATGTTGCTGTGGTGTTCTGGATGGTTGCTAATATGTTATAGGCAGTGGTTTAGTTGTTGCAATGGTGTTGCTGAGGTGTTCTGGGTGGTTGCTAAGATGTTACTGAGGTGTTCTGGGAAGTTAGTTGTTCCAGGTAGCTAGGGATGTTTTTGAAGTGCTCTGGATGGTTGCTATGTTGTTTTAAGTGTTGCAGAGGTATTTTGGGTTGTCACTGAGGTGTTCTGGGTCATTGTTAAGCTGTTACTACGGTGTTCCAAGTAGTTCCTAAGATGTTGCTGTGGTGTTCTGGATGGTTACTAAGATGTTCTAAGCGGTGGTTTAGGTGTTGCTATGGTGTTGCTGAGGTGTTCTGGGTGGTTGCTAAGATGTTCTAAGCGGTGGTTTAGGTGTTGCTATGGTGTTGCTGAGGTGTTCTGGGTGGTTGCTAAGATGTTCTAAGCGGTGGTTTAGGTGTTGCTATGGTGTTGCTGAGGTGTTCTGGGTGGTTGCTAAGATGTTACTGAGGTGTTCTGAGTTGTTAGTGGTTCTAGATGGCTAGGGGTGTTGTTAAACTGCTCTGGATGGTTGCTATGTTGTTTTAAGTGTTGCCGAGGTATTTTGGGTTGCTTCTGATGTGTTCCGGGTTGTTGTTAAGCAGTTCCAGGCAGTGTTTTAGGTGTTGCTGAGGTGTTCTGGGTTGTTGCTGTGGTGTTCTGGATGGTTGCTAAGATGTTACTGAGGTATTTGGAGCAGCTGTCAGCATATCTCTATGTCATTTACAGTATGATGAATGGCTGATTCTACATTTTTAATGCAGATAGGAGGTTTTTGATGGCCAGGTTGATGTAGAAGTGTGAGTGTAGCTGTGATTGACTGAATGGAGCATTGTAAGTGTGCGCGGCTTCATGCAGTTATAGGCATATATAATGCTCGGTGTGCTGCTGCCGGGTGCTCAGTGCTCCTCTTTTCATCAGCATCAGGGGTTTCTGCATCTGTGATTACGGCTTTACAGCTCATCTCAGTAAGTCTCCACTGTGAAGAGACTCCGTGTCGACTTCTGCTGATGAATTCTGGGAATGCCGGCCTCTCGTCTCTCACAGACATTTTAATATCGATCCGTGCGCAGGAATATAATCCATCAGTTCTCTCATATTCATCTCAGGGGGTCGTGAGGAATTAAATGTTAACAGTGTTTATCAGTTGTGGAGGGAGCTCTGGGACGCTCTCTGTGTACCGCAAGTCAATCAATAACTCTGAAATACACAATAAAGGCTGTTTTCCTGGTAGCGCGCAGCTCTTCATGATGCACCTACACTGGCGTAATGCAGACATTTATCTCCTGAATCAAGCTCATCGGCTGTAGCATTGCTTTCACTAATTATCTCCGAAGCGCAGTCAGAACAGCTGCATGTTTGCTCCGGATAATCCATAAACTGAAGAGATGCGGCCACTGAATGTGTGTGTTTTCAGTAACCGCTGGGCAATTAGTGGAAGAGCAACAGCAAACACTTGAAAATAATTACAGGAATAGTCCATGTTTAAGCTGGGAGTTCAGATCCGCTGTTTCAGCAGAAAAGAGCTCTTATAATGAGGATTTCTTTTCCCAGAATACCTGCGAGTGTGTGTCTGCATATTAGACACACTGCTGCATTCAATGACGCACGATGCATTTATACTGATTTATGTTTGGTTTATGTTTGATCGCCAGAGTGAGCTTAGTTTTCTTAACTGTTTTAAAAATGTAGGCACACCAGCCAAAATGTAGTCGCGCACACAAATTATGAGCACAGTGTTGCTTAGTTTGTATGCAAGTGTAAATGAACAGATTCATTGCATTTGAAATCAACACTAATCAAAACTAACAACCAATGCGCCCTACACACACTGCTGGACTGGAGATGAACTGAGTTAGCGATAATAACTGTGCTGTGTTCTAGGGGTGTCAAAAATAATCGTTTTTTCGGTGCACCGCGATGCAGACGCGGACGATTCAGTTTTGGATCAGTAATAATCATAACCGGTTTTTATGTACTGACGTCATTTACCTCATATGCGCTCTGTCGCGAGGGAGGCGATCGCGAGTATTTACAGCGCTTTAACTACTTAAAACTCATAAACTGTGCACAATTTCACTGTGTGTGTTTGCTGGATCAGTCTTTCACTGACATATACAACAATAGCCCCTATTTCACTGAGATCCAGAGAATGAAAGTAGCCGACTCCATTTCTCTCTCTCTCTCTCTTGCATGGTGCCATAGCTGTGAAAGCGTTTGATTCAATTATAAATCCAGGTAATAGTGATGAATGTTCTTTTTGTTCTCAACGTGAAACCCTATATCATGCTTTTATGTTATGTAACAGGCTTAGTTATTAAAAGACAACTAAAATGAAAGCACAAACATTCAGTACACATATTCTAAGTAGGCCTAAATAAATAAATAAAGCAGTGTTTTAGCCCAAATATAGAGAGATGTTCAGTGTTTGCTATTTTGATAGAACATGGTCATTTATGTTTTAATTCACGTTTTCGTTGTTGATTATATTTTAGTAAGTGTTTGTTTCTCTCACCTGTGCAGGATTAGTCATCGATGTGTTTAGGTATTTGTTGTTTCGTGTGTGTGTGCGTGTGCACATGCGTATATTATGTGTGTGTGTCTCTCACCTGTGCAGGAGTAGTCATCAATGCGGATGAAGCCGGTGTGACACACACACATAAAGGAGCCGGCTGTGTTCACACACTCTGTGTTTTCTCGACAGTAGTGTCTTCCCTCCGCACACTCGTCAATATCTGCAACAAACAACACTGCAGATCAGTAGATGAACACACACACACACACACACACAGCATCTCCATTAGAGCTCATTATATAGTCTTAAGACTGCAGGTTTGCTTGATTCTGATTGGCTGATGGTCACTCTAAGGTGTTTGGTTATTGTCAGATAAAACACACAGCTAAAGTAGTTCCGGCAGGTTTAGAGCACATTACAGCTCCATATCACTCCGCTCGGCTCACAATTTGGCCTCAACAACATGAAAGCATGGATCATCCTGCCTTGTATCAGCGGTTCAGGCTGGTGGTGGTGGTGTAATGGTGTGGGGGAGATTTTCTTTGGGTCCATTAGTACCAATTGAGCATCAACGCCACAGCCTACCTGAGTATTGCTGCTGACCATGTCCATCCCTTTATGAGCACAGTGTCTCCATCTTCTGATGGCTACTTCCAGCAGGATAACGCAGCATGTCATAAAGCTCAATCATCTCAGACTGGTTTCTTGAACATGACGATGAGTTCACTGTACTCAAATGGCCTCCACAGTCACCAGAGCTCAATCCAATAGAGCAGCTTTGGGATGTGGTGGAATGGGAGATTGGCATCATGGATGTGCAGCCGACAAATCTGCAGCAGCTGTGTGATGCTATCATGACAATATGGAGCAAAACCTCTGAGGAATATTTCCAGTAGCTTGCTGAATCTCTGCCATGAAGGATTAAGGCAGTTCTGAAGGCAAAAGGGGTCCGACCCAGTACTAGTGAGGTGTACCTAATAAAGTGGCCGGTGAGTGTATATTGCTATTATTTGAATTAGTTAATGACTTTTTGTTGTTATTAATAATTATGCATTTTTTCCTCATTTTTAATAAGACTTACTTTAATATTAAAAATGTTTTGTCAATTATTTTGCCATGTTTGTTCTTTTTCTAAGCATAAAATAATTGAATTTTAATGATTTTGTTTTTCAAAAATGAGACCTAATCTCATCTTCACTACATGCACCTTAGTTTAAATATTTAAAAAAGTAAACAAGACAAAAATACTGATCAAAAAAGCATCATTTAGTGCAATAAAACGTGCAGAACAGCTTATATGCGGGATCTCTGCATATGTCTGAAGTGTCTGCATTAGGAATTCAGTGACTTTTTAAAAGAAGACGCAGATATCGGTGACATTTCCGGCAGAAAGTTTGCTGAAAGCGAGGGCCGCTCGTGTGTCAGGACTCCTTGAATTTATCACCGCCAGATCAAATAAAAGGTATTAAATCAAATCTCATAGACTTACAGATCTAATAAAAAGCCTTATGAATTTTCAGCAGCGCAGAAGTGCTGCATTTGTGATAAATTCAGACTGGCTTTACGGCTCAGGACTTCAAATGAAACTTTAACCCAATTTTCTTCGAACTGCCGTCCTTCAACATAACCTCAGACGCTTCTCTTCTGTAATTCACTTACACTCGTGCGCATTTCAGCCGCGTCTTTTAAAGGAATAAGCAGGATTGTTATCATTATCATCCCACAATAACACACACACATGATGTCTGCCTTCACTGCGGTTACAGTGTCACTTTTAATCCATTAGCATGACCTGCTGAACAAACAATCCTGTATTACGCTTACATTTATTAGATTACAAATACAGCACAAATTGTAAAAATACTGAAAAAGTTTTAGCATTTAAAATATGTGTTGATTATGTGAATATACAGTCAAATATAATACATATCTGAGATTGAAAGCTGAATTTCAGCATGACTACTCCAGTCTGTAAAGTCACACGAGTGTCTGCGGTCATGATGCTGTAAATTCTGCTTTGCATCACAGTTATTAATTTTATTTTGCTATTTATTAATGCAGATCATAGTTTGTTTAAATTATAAAACATTTTAACACATTTGAGTGTATTTTTGATCAATTAAATGCAGTTTGGTGAGCAAAAGAGACTTCTTTAAACACTTTTTGACCTGTTTTTCTATATACTAACACTTAATTACACTTTATTTTTATTTATTTATTTGTATTGTAATGTGTATTTATATAGCGCATTTATCATGTATGATCATACACCCACAGCACTTCACAGTCATGAGGGGGGTCTCTCCACTCCACCAGCAGTGTGCAGCTCCATTTGGATGATGCTCCAGCAGCCACAGGACAACAGCGCCAGGGCTTCTCCACACACCAGCTATAGGTGGAGTGGAGAGACAGTGATGGAGCCAAGTCAGTGGATGGGGATGATTGGGAGGCCATGATGGGTAAGGGCTGATGGAGGGGCTATAGCCAGGACACTAGGGTTACACCCCTACTGTTTATCAGAAGTGCCATGGGGTTATTAATGAGCACAGAGAGTCAGGAGCTCAGTTTAACATCTCATCTGAAAGACAGTATAGAGTCCCCTTCACTATACTGGGGCATTAGGACTCACACAGACCACAGGTTGAGCGCCCCCTGCTGGCCTCACTAACACCACTGCCAACAGCAGCCTAGTGTTCCCATGTGCTCTTCCATCCACACACTGACCAGCCTCAGCCCTGCTCAGCTTCAGTGAGGGAGTGCTCTTGAGTTGCAGGGTGATATGGCTGTGAATTTGTGTATTTATTCACAACAAGGGCCAGTGTACATTAATCAACATTCTCCAAGAATGTAAATGTGTCCAAATTAGCCCAAAGTTTTCAGTGCTGGCCCCTTTTCCAGATGTTAAAGGCCTATACCAATAATGCTTGTGTACTTTACACACACTAGTAAGTCTGTGTTGGATGATGTTACTGATACTACTGCTGCTGCTTCACGTTTTTTAATAATAATAATAATAAACATTTGTAATTTTTTTTATATTTTTTTATATTTTATAATTTTATAATTATATTGTTTTCAATATTTTTATTTTAGTTTATTATTTTAACCTATTGTTATACTTTTATTTGTTTATTTTGTTTATCTTTATAAAGAGACTAAGCTGAAGGAGAATGAATGAATGAATGAATGAATGAATGAATGAATGAATGAATGAATGAATGAATGAATGCATTAAAGAATGAATGAATGCATTAAAGAATGAATGAATGCATTAAAGAATGAATGAATGCATTAATGAATGAATGCATGAATGAATGCATTAATGAATGAATGAATGAATGAATGCATTAATGAATGAATGAATGCATGAATGAATGAATGAATGAATGAATGCATTAAAGAATGAATGAATGCATTAAAGAATGAATGAATGCATTAAAGAATGAATGAATGCATTAAAGAATGAATGAATGCATTAATGAATGAATGCATGAATGAATGCATTAATGAATGAATGAATGAATGAATGCATTAATGAATGAATGAATGCATGAATGAATGAATGAATGAATGCATGAGTGAATGAATGAATGAATGAATGAATGAATGAATGACTGTAATGTAGTACATTTGTTTTCATACGTTTAATGTAGTCTTAATGAAACGGTTTATCAGAACAAAAACACAGTAAAAGCTGCATAAATTGTTCAATATTTTTATGAAAATTTATTCATTTAAAATATATATAAAATCTATTTTAATACAGCTGCTTTTAATCATGATTGTATTTAGTAAACTATTTTATTTCTGTGATGCAGAGCAGAATTTTCAGCATGTGACACTGAAGACTGCTGTAAATCATTGATTTTCCTTCATCTTAGTCCCTCATTTATCAAAGGTCGCCACAGCGGAATGAACCACCAACTATTCCAGCATATGTTTGAGCACCCATGCACTGGGAAACACCCATACACACTCATTCACACTGATACACTATGGCCATTGTAGTTGATCAGTTCCCTTATAGTGCATGTGTTTGGACTGTGGGGGAAACCGGAGCACCCGAAGGAAACCCACACCAACACGCGGAGAACATGCAAACTCCACACAGAAACACCAACTGACCCAGCCGAGACTCGAACCAGAGACTTTCTTGCTGTGACATGATCGCGCTACCCATTGAGCAACCGTGCTGCCCTGAGAATTATTTTGAATGTGTGTGTGTGTGTGTGTGTGTGTGTGTGTGTGTGTGTGTGTGTGTGTGTGTGTGTGTGTGTGTGTGTGTGTGTGTGTGTGTGTGTGTGTGTGTGTGTGTGTGTGTGTGTGTGTGTGTGTGTGTGTGTGCGCGTATATATGTCCATTAACATGCAGAAGCTGGTTTGAGGGTGAGATAACGAAACAGAAGGGAATTTATCTTCCTTTTTCCTCCTGCAGGGAATCAATCACAGTGAAGAGCGCATGAATCAGGCCTGACGGAGACTCGAAATGTGCACGAGGATCCTGACACCAGGACACCAGCAGCAAACAACCAACATTACCTCACTAATGCACAGCCATCCAGCACAGTTCATCTGATCATAATACTGACAAACCAGCGTGTTAAATATTACACACACACACACACACACACACACACACACACACACACACACACACCACACACACTGATAGTTTATTTTTTTTAATACTTAAAAATCAAGTATTTTGGTGGCTCAGTGGTTAGCACTGTGCTCTCACTGCAAGAAGGTCACTAGTTCGAGTCCCTGCTGGGTCAGTTGGTGTTTCTGTGTGGAGTTTGCATGTTCTCCCCGTGTTGGCGTGGGTTTCCTCCGGGTGCTCCGGTTTCCCCCACAGTCCAAACACATGCGCTATAGGGGAACTGATCAACTACACTGTCCTTAGTGTATGAGTGTGTGTGAAAGAGTGTGTATGGGTGTTTCCCAGTACTGGATTGCAGCTGGAAGGGCATCTGCTGTGTAAAACATATGCTGGAATAGCTAGCGGATGAATAAAGGGACTCAGCTGAAGGAGAATGAATGAATTGTGTTGTGAGTCAGTCATGAGTTCTGTTTCTCCGTCTGACCTCGAGCCTTCAGTGGCTCTGGATGCTCATCTTCCTGCTGTGTGTGTGTGTGTGTGTGTGTGTGTGTGTGTGTGTGTGTGTGTGTGTGTGTGTGTGTGTGTGTGTGTGTGTGTGTGTGTGTGCCTGTGTGCTTCTGT